GGAGTGGGAGAGGGAGAAGCAGGCTTCCCGCCGAGCAGAGAGCCCGATGCGGGGCTTGATCCCGGGACCCTGGGATCATGACCTGAGCCGAAGGCAGACGCCTAATGACTGAGCCACCCAGGCGCCCTGAATCACAGGTTTCTGATGATAGGTTGTTTATAATGTTTTGAAAAGTTACTTTGAAATGTTATTTGTAAAACTGTGTGAAGTTCCTGCGTCTGTAGAGTTGGCTCAGGACTGGTGACCTGAGTTCTTCTGCATTTTAACGTGCTCTCTGTCCTGGTCTGTGCATCAGGATGTGCTCTTTGCACGAGCTCGTGATGGTACGTACCCCCTTCCCTGCACAGCGGACCTTGCTTTCTGGGACAAGGCTCCTCTTCCCAGCCTCCTCAGCTCCCGTCCTTCTCTCCTGCACTTCCACTCTGCAGGGGTAGGCTTCCTTCTTCCTCCTGAAGAGTTCAAAACTTTCTCCTGTTGCAGGGACGCTGACTGAGTCCTTTATTTTCTTTTCTCCCTCTAATTTGTCGGATTTCTGTTTTAAGCCCATAGAGAGTAGAAGGTGAATCTATGCATATAGAATAAAAACAGAACACTGTAAGCCTGGTGAGGAGGCTCTGCCTCTCTCCCTCCTCCGTGCAGACTGAGCCCTTTGCGGTCAGCTCCTGGGTTCGTTTTGGTGCCTTGATATTCATCTTCTCCAGGCTCCTCATTAACCCCCATGTGCCGTGTGATATTTTAACGACATTTATGTTGAAGAACCTCATGGTATGGCAACATCTTATCCATTTTTTTTGTTTTTTGTTTTTAATTTCTGTGTCCAGAAGTCAGGGTTAATTCCATTAGAACTAGTTTCTTCCATGTGTCATACATTTTTCTCTGCACGTAGGCCTTTGATCCTTTGATTATCATATCCTTTCTCCACGTAGACACTATGCCTCTTCGGTTTTGCCCTTTTTCACCTCCAGTGAATGTTGACTCCCAGCCTTTCTGAAATCTCTGCCCACTTAGTGTTGTATTATAGGAACCCTGGCCCCGGTCAGGCGTTATCTGGAATTTTTCACCAATTTTTAACCAATTAGGTCTTAACGATTTTTTACTCACATATTAAGATGGCAAGTAACTTATTTTTCTCTTTTCCCTGTAGAATTTATGGTGTGTAATTATTAAATGTTTCATTAATTGAGTGTTGTGCGGCCAGGTAAGGCAGGACCTTTCTTATTTATATTCTTTAGTGCAAAGGTCTACATCTAAGCAACTATCTCAGCTCACCTTAGGAAATATTTCAAATGGTAGATGTCTAGGTACCATTCACATGGATGATTAGGTACTGTCTGTGAAGATAGATTTTTCTCTTCACCCATTAATTTAGAATGACTGCTATCCTGTGGAATGAGAGGAATTGAGTGAAAGAGTCGTGAAATAGCATTGCAGACAATTTTAACATAGAAGAAAATGGAGAACTATATTTATTCAATAATTCAGTATTTGAACACAAAGCATTTGTATTAAAATGCAAAGTTTTTTTTTAAAAGATTTTATTTATTCATTTGACAGAGAGAGATAGTGAGAGCAGGAACACAAGCAGGGGGAATGGGAGAGGGAGAAGCAGGCTTCCCGCAGAGCAGGGAGCCCGATGCGGGGCTCGATCCCAGGACCCCGGAATCATGACCCAAGCCGAAGGCAGATGCTTAACGACTGAGCCACCCAGGCGCCCCTTAAAATGCAAAGTTTTTTTAATCAAGATTAATGATACAGAAAGGAACTTCTTTAGAAATCCAGTTGTGAGTGCACAGTGTTTATCCTACATGTATTGAGGACTTGCTCCCTGCATGCATTGGGGTTACATCAGTGAGAAATACAAACCTCTTCCCTGCCCTCACGTGAGGTCTACATTCTAGTGGGGGACGCAGAAGTAAGGTGATTACCTATTTGATAAGTGCTATGAAGGAAATAAACGGGATGTTGTTAGGATGCCCTTGAAATGATTTTTACACTTGAATGAGCCATGCCGAAAGCTGGGAAGAGCATGCCAAATAAAAGGAACAGCCATTGCAAAGGTCCTGAGGCAGAAAAGGGCTTTGAGATCAAAGGGATGAGAAGGAATTCATGTGGTGGAGCAGCAGTGAGCAAGAGTGTGTGAGAGGAAGTCGGAGAGGTTGGAAAGACTGGGGCATGCTAGGGCATGTGAGCCATGGCAAAAGCTTGCATTTATCAAAGGGGTTTTTTTAAGCAAGGGGGTAAAAAGCCTGATCACATTTTTTAAAGCTCACTGGCTCTCTGGAGACTAGAAATGGGAGGGAGCAAGGCTGGAAGTAGGAATATTAGTTTGAAAACTAAAGTGAAATGCAGGCAGTGTGGACCGGAGTGTGACAGAGAGAAGTGGGTTCACCTGTGCCTGGCCCTGCATAATACCAGTCGGAGACAACTTACTCATTTTCCAAAATGACAAGATTTTTTTTTCTTTTCTTTTCTTTCTTTTTTTTGGAGAGAGAGAGGGGGTGGGGTGCAGAGAGAGAGAGAGAGAGGGAGACACGGAATCCCAAGCAGACTCCCTGTTGAGCACAGAGCCTGACACAGGGTCAGATCCCGGGATCCTGAGATCACACCCTGAGCTGAAACCAAGAGTTGGACGTTCAACTGACTGAGCCCCACAGGCGCCCCAAGATTTTTTTATTTCTTAAATATTTTTTGATACAGTTGAACTACTTGAATATTATTTTATATTATTTGTTAACTTGTATATATATTAATTTTATTTCTTGTTTTGATTTTAATTTAAAATTTTCATTTCTTTATTCAGATTTCATGAAACCATTTTTTATGAACTGTTCAGCTGGACTTCACGCTTACATGTCTACATATGACTCTTGCTTTTTTTAATTCTTTAATTTTTTTTATTTTTTTAATGCTTTTTTAAAAAAATATTTTTACTTATTTGAGAGAGACAACATGAGTTGGAGCAGGGAGAGAGGGACAAGCAGACTCCTCTGGGGAGCCCGATGCGGGGCTCAATCCCAGGACCCTGGGATCATGACCTGGGCCAAAGGCAGGCGCTTAACCGACTGAACCACCCAGGCGCCCCATGACTCTTGCTTTTAATCTCTAAACTTTTTCTCAGTCTTTTTCATCTCAGTGAATAGTATTAATACCTCTACTCACTTAAGCTCAAAATATTGAGTCCTTTTATTCTTTATATCAGCAACTCTAGTTGGTCCTTTTTCTGAAATTCTGATATGTCTGAGAATTAGATAAGTCTCCCACACACACCAAAAAAAAAAAAAATCCTGCAGAAAAGAAGTAGTTGCCTTATATTGAGGTCTCGCCAAATCTTTTGACTTGCAGGGTACCCCCTGGGAATATTACCTCACAATTACTAGTAAAGAATATTGTAAAGTAAACAAACCTTCACTTTAAAATATCCAATAAATGATCATGTTGTGGAAATCACAAACAGTTGTACTTACTGGGTAACAGAGAGTCTGTCCTAATGCATTATACAGAGAGTTCTTGTGGTTTGGAATGATTTTCATGGGTAGGATTACATGTAGATTCATTATATAGATTATAGACTCTTAAAATGTCAAAAAAACCTAAATAAAACTGTCGATGCTGGCTATCAAGAAATAGCCTTGATGGTGAAGTCAGTGATTCAGGTGACAATCTTGAATGAGAATGTACTTTAAATGTAACGATCGTATAGGAACCTAATGTTTCTCATCTTTCGGATGAAAGCTTGATATCCTGTATTAGCTCTGTATTCAGTGTTTCTTCCTTCGTAGGATTCAGCAGTGTATACCAGTCCTGCTCTTTGTGTGCTGGTTGTTGCTAGTGTTCGCTGTATCATGAGGCCTCTGACTCGGGGGTGTTACCTGTGGTCTTCCCTTGTCTTCCCTCTGGACATACAGCAGATAATCGGATTGTTGTTGAATAAGGAAATTAATCACTCCAGTATTTGAGCATAAATTGCTCATGATCACTGCTCCTTGAGTGTATTTCATCTTTTCTAATTTAAAAGTTCATGTTTCTAAACATTTGTAACTTTTAAATGTTTTCATTTCTGTTAAAAAAATTTTTTAAGTTTTTATTTAAATTCCAGTTAGTTAACATACAGTATCTGTCAAAATTTCCAATGTCCAGTAAGTAGACATTATATTTGGGAGGGTTTGTTTTGTTTTGTTTTGTTTTGTTTTAATTGGGATCCTAGGCTCCATTTCAGTTTTATTCAATGAGTGTAATCATTGGGGGATTTACACAGTATGATTCATTTTTTTCCTTTTTAGAAGAAGTCTGGCTAGATAACAGTCTCAAAATGTGGCACCAGGATAATCAAGACAAGCTTAGAAGTGTGGAGAGAGGCCATGAATATGATATTTTTAGGAAAATATTTCATTCAAGCATTAACTTTGTTCATTTAGGAATGAAACCCCATAAATGTGCCACAGGTGAAAAAAGTCTGAAACATCCTTTTGAGTTTCTTATTCCAAAAAATAACCATGGAAGAAAGAAACTTGATGAGCTCAATAAGAAATATTTATTGTATGTCAAAGCTGATAGAACCCATGGTGAAATGCCATACTGTGATTGCAGTAAATGTAGGAAGGCTAGCAGGACAGGGTCGTGGCCCATTGCAAACCGTAGAATGCACACAGGAGTCCATTTATGCATGGAGTGCGGCAGCATTTTCAGTAAGAAGTCACAGCTCATCATACACCAGCGGACGCACACGGGAGAGAAGCCCTATGGATGCAGCGAATGCGGGAAAGCCTTCTCCCAGAAGTCACTGCTCACTATTCATCAAAGGACTCATTCAGGAGAAAAACCATATGGATGTGGTGAATGTCAGAAAGCTTTCAGTAGGAAGTCCCTGCTCATTTTACACCAGAGGACGCACACGGGAGAGAAGCCCTATGGATGCAGTGAGTGTGGGAAAGCCTTCAGCAGGAAGTCGCAGCTCAAGAGACATCAGAGAACCCACACAGTCGAGAAGCCCTATGGCTGCAGTGACTGTGGGAAAGCCTTCTCCCAGAAGTTAAAGCTCATTACCCATCAGAGAACCCACACAGGAGAGAAGCCCTATAAGTGTAGTGATTGTGGGAAAGCCTTCTTCTGGAAGTCACAGCTGATTACTCATCAGAGGACTCACACGGGGAAGAAACCATACGCATGTAACGAGTGCACAAAAGCCTTCAGCAGGAACTCGCTGCTCATCAGACATCAGAGGATCCACACAGGGGAGAAACCCTATGAGTGCAGCGAGTGTGGGGAAGCCTTCATCAGAAAGCCACAGCTTATCAAGCATCAACTAACTCACACGGGAGAGAAGAACTACCAGTGTGCTGATTGTGAAGAAGCATTCTTTAAGAAGTCAGAGTTAATCAGACATCAGAAGACTCACTTAGGGGAGAAACCCTACGGATGTGTTGAATGTGGAAAAACCTTCTTTGGGAAGTCACAGCTCCTAACGCATCAGAGAACTCACACTGGAGAGAAACCGTATGAATGCAGTGAGTGTGGAAAGGCCTTCACCCAGAAGTCAAGCCTGATTTCACACCAGAGGACACACACAGGGGAGAAGCCCTATGAGTGCACGGAGTGTGGGAAGACCTTCAGTGAGAAGTCAAGCCTCATTCATCACCAGAGAACCCATACTGGAGAGAAACCCTTCGAATGTAGTGAGTGTAGGAAAGCTTTTGCCTGGAAGCCACAGCTTCTTAGACATCAAAGAATTCATACAGGGGAGAAACCCTATGAATGCAGTGAGTGTGGGAAGGCCTTTGTTCAGAAAGTGCAGCTCATTAAGCATCAGAGAAATCACACAGGAGAGAAAACCTATGGATGCAGTGATTGTGCAAAAGCCTTCTTTGAGAAGGCACAGCTCGTTATCCATCAGAGAATTCACACGGGAGAGAGACCCTATAAATGTGGTGAATGTGGGAAGTCTTTCACTAGAAAGTCTCACCTTATGAGGCATCAGAGAATTCATACAGGAGATAAATACTATGGGTGCAGTGAGTGTGGGACTGCTTTCGGCAGGAAGTCGCAGCTCATGATTCATCAGAGGACTCACGTCCTCTAGAAACCATGTGAATGCTGTGAACTTGGAACATTTACTGTCAGACGTCATGCCTTCTGACACGTCCGAGGACACACACACGGGAGGAACCCTGTCAGTGCACTGGGAAGGCAGGTCTCACCCAACAATTTGGAGAGGAGGGAATTTGTTTAAGTAGACAGTGTAAGAGAGCCTTCTCCCAGAACACACAGCTTGTTACACATTAATGACTTAACGTGGAAGTCTTAACCAGTATTGTGGTAGTACGGACCCTTGTAGTGAGAAGTGACAGCTCATTGTTAGAGGACCTACGCTTGAGGAGAAACTGGACTGTTGTAAAAAGCAAGTGAGAGGTTTCATCAAGAAAGGATAACTCACAGTACACTAGAGAGTGCATACACAAAATACTGAATAGTATGAATTAGAGATTTCAATACGGAGAAGTCCTCATGTGAAGAATTTTGATAAGCATGATCCTGTTGAAGGAATTCTATAACATTGTGTTTGTTGTATGTAAGTTATAAAAAATAGTTATTTTTAAAAGTTAGTTGTGTTTTAAGTGTGAAGACTTCTGCTTTCCGCTATGGTGGTACGGCAAGGACCAGATTACTCCCCTGCCTTCGACATCTAGAAACTGTAAAATGTATGTGAAAGAATAGTTTTGAGACCTATGGCAAGCAGAAGTTTGTGATCCTCGGCAGAAGGTGGACAGAGTGAGGTGAGCCCCACAACAGCCCAGCCTAGCGCCTGGTGGCAGCTCCCAGGCTGCTGTTCAGGGGAAAGGAACACGTGGTCTCGTCAAAGAGAGCTGCTGACATGGCCTTTGGGGAGGCCACAGTAGCTAGAATTTGCAGGGAAAGGAGAAGAGGGAGCTTTCCAGAGAGAGGGCTGCAGAAATCTATGAGGAGTCCCCTTGAGTCTTTTGGCTTAGTGCTGATTTGCATGTGTGTGAAAGGAAAAGGCGTGCTGGAAAGCAGGCGGCAGAACAATTCCCAGAAGTCAGTGCCGGGCTGGGAATAAAGTTCCCACCAGCTGGATTGGAACAGCTTTGAACACATGGGGCATCGTTAGGGTTCCCCGCAGAGTATGATCTTGTGAAGTAACTGACCCTAGATTAAAAGCTGCTCTGGACCCACAATGTCTGGCATCTAAACACTTTCCTGACATGCAAAGAAATTATGAGAATACGACTTGTAACCAGGACAAAAATGAATCAGTAGAAAGAGACATAGAAGAGACTGGAGCACTTGGCATTGGACAAGGGTGTTCAAGCAGCTCTTTCGAATATAGAGGAAAATATGAACATGACAAGACCAGAATGGAAGGTGTATTTTTAAAAGCCCAAGTGGAACATCTCAGGATGAAAACAGCAGTATCTGAAAATTAAAAAAACAATGACCAAAAAAACCCAACTCTGAGTGAAATTAAGAACAGATGAGACATAGAAGAAGAAAAATTGATGAATTTAAGTAAGAATATAAACTGTCCAACTGATGAACAGAGAAAAAAAGCCTGGAAGAAAAGAGAGGAGGGGAGCAGAGTCCTAGAAGGAGAGGACGGGGAAGAGAAGTAACAAAGTATCTGAATAAATAAGGGCTGAAATTGTTACCAATGGGATGAAAAGTGTCACTCCACATATTCAAGGAGTTCAAAGAACCCCAAACAAGATACATAAAAAAAATCCTGCTAATGGACATCATAGTCAAATGGATGAAGAACAGTTGTAAAGCGCCTCGGGAAAGACAGGACGCGCTCACAGAACAGAGTAGGACAGCTTGCTCCCGGGCAGAGACTGCTCAAGCCACAGGACAGTAGAGTGAGTGACCACTTCGGATTACTGAGGGAAAAAATAAAACCCCTGCAACCTGGCGTTTGTCTATTACCCATCAGAAATATCTTTCAAAAATTAAAGGAAAAAAAGACTTTTTCAGGAAAACAAAATCAAAGAGAATGTATCAGCTGTAGGCCTTCCTTCAGGAAAATTTAAGTAAGTTTGGGGGCAGCAGGAAAATAATCCTAGGTGGAAATGTGTATCTACAGGAAGAAATGAAGAGTTCTGGGAATGGTAAATATCTGGGTAAATATAAAAGATTTTTTTCTCATTTTAAAATCTTTTAAAAAGGTAATCGATTGCTTAAAGCCAAATAGTGACAATGTATTGTGGGTTATGATCTATTTAGAAGTAAATTATGTACCAACAACAACACTTATGGGTGAATTTTCTAGAATAGTTAAATAGACTGCATCATCTGAGTCAGAAATCTGCTTCCCCAGGGCTCAGGGTGACTTGTGTCTGTAGCATCTACTCAGTAGAGTTGACATGTGATGGACCTGCATACATGCTGCTTGTTCCCTGCTCCCGCTCCTCTCTCTGCACCCCAGGGGCTGCCCTCTAGGGTTTCTAGCGGCTAGATCAGCCGAGGGAGGAGAGAGGCCAGGGCATTCCTCCCCGCCCTCCCTACTGGGCCTTGGTTTGGGCAGAGTCTGTGCCTGCGTGGGCACAGCTCCCGCTGGGCAGTCCTCCTCTGGGGCTGTCGACTCCGTTCTCAGTTCACGCCTCCCTCTCCTTGCTCTTCGGATGCTTCACCATCCCTAGTTGGTGTCCTTAATTCTGAACACATATCTGTAAATAGTCCCTCTATTAAATGTTCTTGAGTTAATATTTTGAGTGTACCCTTTGTTTTCTGTGCCGTGTTGAAGGATGAGCATTTAACAACATTTTGAGTGTGTCAGTTACTGGTGCATGTGCCTCATAGGGCACAGACTGACATCTGTCAAGATTTCCCACACTAAATGTCAGTATTTTCTCTTTTTTTTTAAACAATTCAGTAGCAATTATAGCAAGTAACAAAGTTCTTTGTGTTTTTTGTTTTGTTTTGCTGCAAATGTAAATGGCTCCACAGATTATCATCTGCTGCATATCCAATGGTCTTGCAGTTATTACTAACACTTCTTCAGTAATAGAAACCAAAACATTTATGAAGTCAAATGCTACTCTAGATTAGCCAAGCAATTTACAAAAACACATTGGCATTTATGTTCAATATGTATGGACAAGAAAAAAGATAACCAGGTCCTGAGTGAGGGAGAAAGGAATGATGCCTCATAGGTCCCAGTATGTCCTTTAGAAACACTGCTGTGCATACCCTCATTCCATATTCTGCTGCTTTTCTATATGATCCATGTACTCTGTAACCCGTGGACAAGATTTCCATATCTGTAGTCAGAATTGCCACAGAGTCTCTCTAAAGGCTCCACACCAGTGCCCATCACCAACAGCATACCGTCTGGTGAAGTTAGAGGCGGTCAGGTTGAAGTAGACTACCAACGAACCCCAACACAGCAGCCCCATCTGCTGTCATTTGTCAGATACCTCTTAGGAAGTTTACTTTTCTTTTCTTTTCTTTTTTTTTAAGATTTTATTTATTTATTTGACAGAGAGAGACACAGCGAGAGAGGGAACACAAGCAGGGGGAATGGGAGAGGGAGAAGCAGGCTTCCCGCTGAGCAGGGAGCCCGATGCGGGGCTCGATCCCAGGACCCTGGGGTCATGACCTGAGCCAAAGGCAGACGCTTAACAACTGAGCCACCCAGGCGCCCCGGAAGTTTACCTTTCTTTACCCTCTCTCACCTGGTCCTTTTCTCTTGGTACCCGGACGGCTTTTGAAGGGAAATAATCGCCATCAGGCCACACAGCTGCATTTTCTCTCCAGGTGCTTTTGCATTTCAGTATGCATTTTGAAGAAGCTTTTCATGCAGGTCTTCCATTTTGTATAACCCCGAAAGATACCATTCTCAATATAGTCTGTGCCAGTAAACTTGTGTTTTTCTCTGGTCCTGTCTTTAGCGAATTAGCTAGCCAATGAAATCAGTGTTTCGAGGCAGGGACGTAATTGGAATACAGCACTGTTACCTGTAATGGTTTCTCTGTAATAGGACTGTGTGCTCTCTGTGTGATAGCAAAATGGTTTGCACCAGCACAACTCTCCCCTGGCCCCCTGTATTTCTCACAAAGTGAAGGGAAAGGCCGTGCTCACTCTCAGCTTAGAAAACTTTATCTCATGATGTCTGTCTGCAGCTTAGAAGCAGGCAATGTAACATCTCATGATCAGCTCACAAGGATGACAAGTAACTGTGTTACAGGGTTCCCCATCTGTGGAGCAGGTGATGCTTATCTGATCATTGTTTATTTCCTTTGTGGGGTCTTCGCAGTTTAGATCAGTCATTACTCATTGTATCCAGGTAATCTGGACATCTTGTCATAGAGGCTGTTACTTTCAGAATTCTAAGATTAAATAAAGCAGGGAACACCAACTTTATTGAATACTTAAATCGTTATACTTAGGTATTTTACAACACCTACATCATTAGAAATGCCCAACAAAGAGAGTGTAGCTATAGAAGCAGTCACTGGTAGGATGAAGGGAGAATGCAAGTGAAGTGACATTTGTAATTTGAGGTTCTCATTTAAAGCATTACTCTCATTCCTATCATTAAAATTTATTAACACATCAAGCTCAGATTCACAAGAAGATGGGGAAGCAGATCTAGTGTATGTTAAGAGAGTGGGCATGTTAGAGGAGCATTTAAACCATGGACTTGCTACCACTGTAGCCATCAGAATGGTAGTGATCACAGGGCAGCCCGAGGCACATGAGCGAGTTATATATACTTACTCTATGGTGTATGTTTGCACAGAGCAGAATGTGTCACGTGATGAGCCCTGAGCTCTGGGCCAGCAGTGCTACGCGTACAAGGTTGGGGCAGACAGCTAATGAGAAAGGTCGGGCTGCCGGCCCTTTTGTGCCTGTCCACTGCTGGCCTGTTTCCACTGACTGGTGCACCTGGAGAGCAAGGGCGCCTTAGGGGAGCGGTGCTCACACCTATTGCCCACACTTCTCTCCGCTGTGTTTGAAAAGAAAGCGTCTGTACCTCTATGTTTACTGAGTAAACTGTTCAACAAATTAGTATGTGCGAGTGTGATCATTGGTAACGGTGAACTCTAGCTTCCATTCAGCTGGGTATCCCAAACCGGATCTAAACTCTGCCAGTTTCCAACACGTTTATCATCCACATACGCCTGAAACGTAAAGAGAAAAGCACTGCTCGATTCCGTTGTTGGCGGTGTTAAGAGTCAATGCTCTGCCTGGCCCCTGGCTCACCCGGCTGGCGTCTGGGTCTGTGCAGAAGAGAAACGGCCTGCTTTCTTCCAAGCTAATCCCTTGAAGCTTCGATGAGTAGGATCCTGACCGTGTACCTACACCACGAGCAAACTTGTGAGAAAAGTGGAGGGGGGCGCGCTGTGTGAGGTGTACTCACACGCACCCTGCACCTTCTGTATCCGATAACCCCTCGGAATCCCCACTAAACAGATGGGCAGTGTCTGGCCCTGCAGATGGGGGGCCTGGTCCCCCCCACCCTTGTCCGGTGATGCCTTTCCTGTCCTTTTGTTTTCTTTTTATGATTTTAAGTATCTCTACACCCAGCATGGGGCCTGAATCCACAACCCAGAGACAAGGGGGGCAGGCTCACCCACTGAGCTGGGCAGGTGCCCCACATTCCTGTCTTAATGCTCTCCGCCCCGGCACAGACCCCTGCTTTGATTGACACGTGAGTACGGTGTTAAACTGCATGCTTTTGCCTTGTTGGGAGGTCTTCCGATGGAAGGAACTCCAGCATTCGTTACGCTGCGCGCACCCCAGGGCTCTCGAAAAGCCAACGGAGCTAGGGCGAGGCCCGCCGCAGAGCCCTCTGGGAGATGTAGTTCTGGGGCGAGCGGCACTCTGGGAAATGTAGTTGTGCGCGCCCACTTCCGCGGTCGCCGGGAGCCTCTCGGCGCCGGGGCCCCAGCGGGAGGGGGTGGGGGCGGGGCTGGGGCGGCCTCGCTGTCTCCGCGGGCCCGTAGTGACCCCGGCGCGCGTTCCGCGGTGGGGGCAGCGTTCGGGGCCAGTGCGGTCTGGGGCGGTCCGTTGTAATCGGAAATGCGGAGGTCGTGGGGGCGGCCGAGGGGCGGAGGACTCCGGGGATCGGTGACTGGGCCTCCCGGGAGGGGCCGCTGGACGCAGCGCGCAGCGCGTCTTGCTGTTTGGAGCGAGCGTGGCCGCCGGAGCCGGCCAGTGCGGAGGATGCTGAGGGGCCTGCGGGGATCGGTGGCTGGGGTCAGGTGAGGATCCGGGGCCTGTCGGGCTGACGGCTGCGGGAGAGCCGGGGACAGCGGAGTGGGTCTTCCGTGAGCGCAGCCGCGGTGAGTGGTCGTGCGCCTGTTAGGGCGGCGTCTGGGGGTCTGCATCAGGGGTCTGAAGCTGCCAGGAATGGGGACGTCAGAGGTCTGGACTTGGGGTGCCTGCAGTGGTCGGCAGCCGCGAAGGGCAGAAATTGGGTGCCTGGTGGGGTTGCTGAAGGGCAAGTGGAATTTGCTGACGGGAGGGACCACGGAGTTGAGTGTCTGTGGGGTGACCGACTTGCGGTTTGCTGGGGCCTGCGAGAGCTCTGCGAGTGGGGGACGTTCCTGGAGGAGGATTTTTCTCATTAGCTTGTTACCGAGCCTTGGGGATGAGTGGCTTGGAGGCCAGTGGGGGTCTGGGAGGTGCTGTGTGTTGTCACGAACCGTAGGCTCATGAGGAAGTGAGTGTAGGACGACCGTTTACACCAGTGACTGGGGAATCAGAGATCAGGATTAGGGTGCCTGGTGGGCGAGGAACTGGGGACTACTAGGGATGATAGAGTGATCGGGGAGGCCCGAGCGTCGATCGTTACAAGAGTCCTTGGGCGCCTGGCTGGCTCAGTCGGTAGAGCTGGGACTCTTGATCTTAGGGTCCTGAGTTCGAGCCCCACGTTTGGCATAGAGCTTGCTTTTAAAAAAGAGAATAGTGACTGGGGAACTACGGGGCGAATGATTTGGTAGCTTGGGGGTGGAGGCCAGAGATTGGTTGACATTTGGCTGAAATTGGGGGTCCGTGGGGCTGACTGGGGACAGAGTAGGTTTAGACAACTGGGGAGACAGTTTGTGGGGAGAATCCGACTAGTCATCAGGAAGCCTGTGGGTTAATAAGTGTGAGGGTGAGTGAGGGAGCTGTTGGTGTGACAGGGTTGTGGGAGTTAGTGATGGGCCAGCTGTGTCTGAGTGACTGGGACTTGCAGCTTGCTGGGAGTGTGATTGGTGGGGTAGGTTGTGAAGGGCTGTGGGATTGAGGGGAGGTCTTTGAGGCTAATGACTGCGTGGCCTTGGGGGTCAGTGACTGAAGACTAGGGATGCCAGGATATTGGGTATTGGTTGAGAGCTGAATGGGTGACCTATAGGATATAATCACAGGTCTGTGGTTGTATTTGTGGGTCTGAAAGTGGGTTTACCATATAGCATAAACTGTACAGCTTAAAAATTTAAGAAGACTTTAGATCACATTTTTATAATATCAGCATGGTTTCTCCCACCCTATGAGAGACGTACCTTTGAAGTAGTGGGATTATTGATAATGATTGTTATTGATATGTATTTTCTATAATCACGTCATGTGGTAAGAAGAGCACTAACTAGCGTTTGCTAAATGTTTATGTGCCTGTCATAGTTCTAAGGTATTTACATGTATTAACTAATTTAGAACTCTCAAAAACATTATGAGCTTAAAATGAACTACTTACTGTATTTTGAGGAGAAGCTCTGCTGAATTATTCATTTCATCAACTGCTGGATTCATTTTCCTCTTTTATTTATGCTTTTATTTAAAAATGAAATTGTTGTTCTTATTGTCTGTTGGCTGTATATTTTGCACACACACACACACGGTCTCTCTTTCCCTTCCCCACTTTGAGAGAGAATGAGTGCTTGATGAAATGCTGCTATTAATGCTGGGGGGTTCCTTCTGCATACCCCATTATTTTGAGTCCTTGTTAGGTCTGTTTAGAGTCTATAGAAAACCCACTGAGCTTTATTTTTTTTTTAAAGAAAATTTTTTTTTATTTATTCATCTGAGACAGATACAGAGTGAGAGAGGGAGCATGAGCAGGGGGAGAGGGAGAGGGAGAAGCAGACTTCCCGCTGAGCAGGGAGCCCGATGTGGGGCTCAATTCCAGGACCTGGAGATCATGACCTGAGCCCAAGGCAGATGCTTAACCATCTGAGCCACCCAGGCGCCCCCCACTGAGCTTTAAATGCAGGTGAGTTTCCAGCAAGAAAGGGATATTTGCATCAACTAAAGAGAATTTGTTAACTGATTCAACAGATTCCAGTTTCCATGAATTAATTGGCTTATTTGAGATAAAGAAGAAGTCTCAGGACCAAGGATCCTTGGTGAAGAGAATCCTGACCAGAGACCTTTGATTTGAGCATTAAGATAGACTCCAGAAGATACGCAGAGTCCACCAGCACAGAGCAGAGCCTACAGTTACTGGGCATTTCCCAAGAATAGCAGAAAATGACCAAGTCCCAGGTGAGTAATTCTTTTATTTCCTCAATTGTAGTTCCATACAATTCACCCCTTTAAAGTGAACAATTTACTGTTTTTTGTTTTTTTTTTTTTAAAGATTTTATTTTATTTATTTGACAGAGAGAGAGAGAGACAGCTAGAGAGGGAACACAAGCAGGGGGAGTGGGAGAGGGAGAAGCAGGCTCCCGGCCGAGCAAAGAGCCCGATGCGGGGCTCGATCCCAGGACCCTGGGATAATGACCTGAGCCGAAGGCAGACGCTCAATGACTGAGCCACCCAGGCGCCCCAGGTTTTTTTTTTTTTTTTAGTAAGTTTAGAGGCTTCTGCAACTGTCTAATTATTCAGCCACAATCTAAATTTAGAATATTTTCATCCTCCAGAGAGCACCTGGGTGGCTCAGTCGGTTAAGCGTCTGCCTTTGGCTCAGGTCATGATCCCAGGGGTCCTGGGATTGAGCCCCGCATCGGGCTCCCTGCTCAGCGGGGAGCCTGCTTCTCCTTCTCTGCTCCCCCTGCTTGTGTTCCCTCTCTCGCTGTCAAATAACTAAATAAAATCTTAAAAAATAAAAATAAAAAGAATATCTTCATCCTCCCGAAAGGAAACCCCGTCTCCTTAGCAGGTATTCCCCGTTTCTCCCCGCCCCAGCTCCAGGCCACCACAATATGCTTGCTGTTTCTCTGCATTTGCCCATTCTACCCATTTCGTATCAACAGGATCACACACTACAGGGTCTCTTGTCACTGGCTTCTTTCATGCAGCCTACTTTCAAGATGTGGCATGATGTAATACTTTATTGTCTTTTGTTGTGGAATAATATTCTATCATGTGACTGTAGCACATTTTGTTCATCAGTTCCTCATTTGCTAGACATTTCCACATTTTGGCTATTATGGATGATGCCACTACGAACATTTGTGTTTATGTTCTCTATTCTCTTGGTACATACCTAGGAATGGAATTGCTGGTTCCTGTGGTAACTATATTTAACATTTTGAAGAACTGATAAACTTTTCTTTAAGTTTTTTTTTTTTAAGATTTACTTATTTATTTTAGAGAGAGAGAGAGAGAGAGTGTGCAAGCGAGCAGAGGCAGAGGGAGGGAGAGAATCTGAAGCAGACTCTCCGTTGAGGACAGAGCCTGACATGGGGCTCGATCCCACAACTGTGAGATCATAACCTGAGCTGAAATCAAGAGTTGGGCGCTTACCGACTGAGCCACCCAGACGCTCCTCTGATAAACTTGTTTTAAAGTGGCTGCTTCATTTTACTGTCCCACCAGCCATATGTAAGGGCCTCGACTTCTCCACTCCTCACCAACACTGTTATTGTCTGATTGTGGCCGTTCCAGGGGGTGTGAAATCACCCTTGTGATTTTCATTTGCATTTCCCTCTGTACCCACATTGATGTGTCTGGGTATAAAATTTTTATTCACATTCTTTATTGCTTTCAGTTGGAAGGCTCTTGTGTGCCTCCAACTTTGGGGAACTTTCTTGTTTTATTTCACTGATTATTTCCTCCCCTTTATTATCCATTCTCTCTAGCTCTGGAATACTTGATGGGTTTTTGGATCTATCCTCTGAGTTTAAAAACTTTTCTTTAATATGTTTGACTTCTTTTCTTTTCATTTTTATTCTTGCGGAGTTCATCAGTGTGGTAATTCACACTGCAAACGTCTTCTTTCAGGAGATACATTCTGCTGTCTGGCAAGTATATCAAGCTTTTTTTCCGTTCAGGTTTTTGTTGTTTTTTTTTTAAAGATTTATTTATTTATTTGACAGAGAGAAACACAGCGAGAGAGGGAACACAAGCAGGGTGAGTGGGGGAGGGAGAAGCAGGCTCCCCACTGAGCAGGGAGCCCGATGCGGGGCTCGACCCCAGGACCCTGGAATCATGACCCGAGCCGAAGGCAGACGCTTAACGACTGAGCCACCCAGGCACCCCTCCATTAAAGTTTTAATAACAGCTCATTTAATGATTCCATCTAATGTTTCAATGTGATGGTTGAAGGGGCTGAGACTCAAGTGTTGTTTACATTAAGATATCTGTTTCAAAATCAAAAATACAGTTTTTCTAAGAATGATAACCTTATATAGAATGTAAAATCCAGATCTTGTGTTTGGCTTGAAATCATTCTTTTGGGGGCACCTGGGTGGCCCAGTCAGTGAAGCATCCGCCTTCAGCTCAGGTCATGATCTCAGGGTCCTGGGTTTGAGCCCCACGTTGGGCTCCCTGCTCAGCGGGGAATCTGCTTCTCCCTGTGCACCCCCATGCTCTCTCCTTCTCTTTCTTTCTCTCTCTCAAATAAATAAATAAAATCTTAAAAAAAAAAAAAAGAATGTTAAATAAATGTATCACTTGGGGATGACTTCACTTACAAATAGTAGCTCTAATAATATGGCCCTTGAAGTTTCTCCTGCAGGACACCTGGAGTAGACAGTCCTGGGCTAGCACAGCTCTTGAGGGGTGCCATGAAGGGCTCCGGGTCTTTCCAGGGTTCTATTCTCCCATACTTCACAAGTTGGTTTTCTGTCTCACACATGTTGCCTCATGGCTCAAGGTGGCTACTGCAGCTTCAAGTACACGTCTGCTTTAAAAGCAGGGAGAGGGACACCTGGGTGGCCCAGTTGGTTAAGTGTCCAACTTTTAGTTTCGCTCAGGTCATGATCTCAGGGTCATGGATCAGGCCCCACATCAGGATTCGCACTCAGTGCAGAATCTGCTTAACAGTCTCTCTCGCTCTCCCTCTGCTCCTCCCCCTGCTCGCTCTCTCAAAAATTAATAAATAAATCTTTTTAAAAATAATAAAAAATAGGGGCGCCTGGGTGGCTCAGTCGTTGAGCGTCTGCCTTCGGCTCGGGTCATGATCCCAGGGTCCTGGGATCGAGCCCCGCATCGGGCTCCCTGCTCTGCGGGAAGCCTGCTTCTCCCTCCCCCACTCCCCCTGCTTGTGTTCCTTCTCTCGCTGTGTCTCTCTCTGTCAAAGAAATAGATAAATCTTTAAAAAATAATAATAAATAAAAGGGAGAACAGTAGAGAGAGCAGAGGGTACTCTCAGTATCTCTCTCTTTTATCAAAGAAGCAGCAGCTTCCCCCAGATGGCCCTTGCACACTTCCTAGATCCCGCTGCCAGCCCACAATCACAGGACTAACTCTAGATGTAAGAGAGACAGAAGGACAAAGGGAACGGTTGTGATTTGTTACTGGGAACGGGGCGGTATTTGCACCCCTCGTACAACTGAGGTTAGCAGACAGAAGGAGAAGAGCTATTCTGAAGACTGCTAGTGGCTCGTACCCCGGGGCCCTTACATCTTTCTTTCATTATCCAAAACCCGTTGGTTCAGAGTTACCAGGAGTGTGCTCTTTCAGGGATCATTGTCATTTGAGGATGTGGCTGTGGACTTCACGCGGGAGGAGTGGCAGCTGCTGGACTCTGCTCAGAAGACTCTGTACAGAAATGTGATGTTGGAGAACTTGAGCAGCCTTGTGTCACTAGGTAAGGACACATCCTGTGTGGACTCGGCCTAGTCAGCTGTCTTGTCCTATTCGTTTACTGAAAAATGGGACCTGTGAAGTGTGTAATGACTTAGGGCTTTAGTTTAAGAATTCAAAAATTCTTAGCCCTTCTTTGTCTTCAGAGTGTTTGTCCATGTGCATCCCAAATGAAAGGCCTCATTCACAGCCTCTGAAGCTAAGCATTTGTTTATTCTTTAGAAGCCTAAAGCCCAAGAAATTGGGCTCAAGTCCTGTGTGATTTTCCATACACAGGGTTTCAACTTATCAGACCAGATGTGATCTTCAGACTGGAGCAGGAGAAGCCACGGGTAATCAGTGAAGACATCCCCAGTGAGAGCTTTTCAGGTGAGTCACCTGGGAGGCAGGGGGATTGGAATGCCCTTTGCAGCGAACAGTGAAGACAGTGAAGGGTGGGCACCTTCACAATGTTGTTGAGAGAATTCTCAAAGTCACTAAACCTTTGGAAGTGACTCAGAACCATTGAGATGGGGACACCTGGGTGGCTCAGTCGTTAAGCGTCTGCCTTCGGCTCAGGTCCTGATCCCGGGGTCCTGGGATCGAGCCCCGCATCAGGCTCCCTGCTCAGCGGGAAGCCTGCTTCTCCCTCTCCCACTCCCCCTGCTTGTGTTGCCTCTCTCGCTGTCTCTCTCTCTCTGTCAAATAAATAAAAAATAAATCTTAAAAAAAAAAAGAACCATTGAGATAAGCTTCTCAGATACACAGATATCTATCACTTATCCATGTGAGGATAATCTGTCCTTCTTTGCTTTGATTTTAGAGTGAACTATGCTTCTCTGGTCTGTACTAAGGAGCTCAACCCCTCTTTCTCATGTCAGACCTTGTACATTCATTTTCCTCTCCACACCACAAACCTTATCCTGCTGATAGGTCCCTTTTCTTTTCTCTTGGACACAGGAGTCATTATCATTTTTTCCCTCTCACTGTTCTAATTCCCACATATTTTCTTTCCCTTTTGACTGGTAAATGCCTCAGATTACTATTGTATACCCACAGTCATTTCCTCTATTCTCTCCTTGATTTCTTTTATGATAGTTTACTCTTTCTATTCCCATAACCAAAGGAATAACTTTGGTGTCGTCATTCCCTGCCTTCTAGTGCAATTTTTTATGGCCTTGTCTTAGAGTTGAGTGTGTGTACAAATGAAACCCTTTGCCTGGGACAGATTATTATATCATTGCTTCTAACAACCTATTTAGTCAATGTGTTTTTTTTTCTTCTCATCTATTATTGGTTTTCTACCTCAGTATTCATGAACGCACTTTATTTAATTTTAATTCCCAAACATGTACCGATGTGCGTGATTATTTCTACAGTTCTAGTTCATCTGGTTCACAGTTATTGAAGAATTCACAAAATGTGTTTTATTGTTCTCTTTTCTAGAATACCGGAAAGTTGATGATTACAAAGCATGGCACCAAGAAATTCAGGACAGGATTAAAAAATTGGAACAAGTCCGTGAAATGAATGCAAGTGGAAAAATATTTCAGTCTGGCATGAACCTGGCACCTTTAAAGCAAAAGCACAGGAAGCGTGTCTCAAATGGAAAACATTTGAAATGCTCGTTAGATTTATTTACTCAGACTGGAAACTGTGGAAGAAAGCAAGCTGGTAAGGTCAATGGGTATGAGAAATCCTGTCTCCGTACTGAACATGAAAAAACTCATGTTGGATTAAAATACTATGAATGTAATGAATGTGGAAAAGTCATCAGCAAGAAGTCACGACTCATTGTCCATCAGAGAACACACACAGGAGAGAAACCATTCAAATGCAGTGGATGTGGCAAAGCCTTTTCCCAGAAGTCACACCTTGTTACACATCAGACAGTTCACACGGGAGAAAAACTTTATGGATGTGAGTGTGGGAAGGCCTTCTCTAGAAAGTCACACCTCATCACACATCAGAGAACTCACACGGGAGAGAAACCGTATGAATGCAGCGACTGTGGGAAAGTGTTCTCTCAGACATCACAGCTCATCATTCATCAGCGAAGTCACACGGGAGAGAAACCCTATGCGTGTGGTGAATGTGGGAAAGCCTTCAGTGGGAAATCACAACTTATTACTCATAAGAGAACCCATATAGATGAAAAGCCCAACAAATGCAGCGAATGTGGCAAAGCCTTCAGAGAGAAGTCAAGTCTCAATAAGCATCAGAGAATTCATTCAGGAGAGAAACCCTATGGATGCAGTGAGTGTGGGAAAGCCTTCAGTGGGAAGTCACTGCTCATTAGACATCAGAAAACTCATTCAGGAGAAAAGCCCTATGGATGCAATGAGTGTACAAAAGCCTTTATTTGGAAGTCACAGCTCATCATACACCAGCGGACTCACACAGGAGAGAAGCCCTATGGGTGTGGCGAATGCGGGAAAGCCTTCTCCCAGAAGTCACACCTCATCATACATCAGAGAACTCATAGAACAGAAACCCTAGAAACAGAGTGAATGTGAGAAACTTTGAAGAAAATAATCGCACTTCTCTCTACATCCTAAAACGCATTTATAGAAATTCTCTGAAGGCCGTGAGTATAGGAAAGTCATTGGCAGGAAGTTCTACTTCCTTAAACATCAGAATGCCAAACGGGAGAGTGGGCCTATGTGTGCAGTGAACGTGGCAAAGACTGTAGAGAAAAGCACTCAGCAAATCGTCTAGTCTCGTTGTAAATCAAATTATTCATATTGAGGACAAAAATAATGATTTAAAAGAATATAGAAAAACTTTGTCAATAGAAACGTTAAAAAAAATCAATTTCCAACTCTGGTATTCCATCTTTCAAAGAAAAAATTATTCAGTTTTAAATGATAAGCATATGAAACCTTAAAGATATATATGTATTTGTATGTATATATATGTTAGTAATGATGACAGCCAAGTAAAAAGCCTGTTGCTTCAGAGGAATATAGGGCTTATATTCCTGAGTATGCCTACATGTTATAAATTTATATATTTTCATAGCACATGTGAAATTAATGTGTGAACATGGTGTATTCATGTTTATGACACAGGGTCTGTCAAGAGTGCTACACGATGGATACGTTTGTTTATACCATAACGGTAGAAGATAAGCTGGACCAAATGATGTAATGTATTATTTACAAACACTCTAAGATATATTGCCAGATATTTTTGGCACATGTAAATGAGTTTGAGAGCTCTTACCTGCTCTGTCTTCAGTAATAGAAGCTGGACTTTTTCAGTAAAGTCTTCTGCCTCCTCTGCGTCACCAGTTTATATACAGAACTGTTGTTCATATTAGACATGCAAAGGCAAGAATACACATTAGCATATAACTGAGTGAGCAACAGAAAAGCCCTGAATTGCATCGCTCATCATCTAAATATATGAGAAATGGGGTTCGTAAAAATAAAAGACCCACAAAGCATATCCTCCTATTATGTTTTCAGTGGGATTTCTGTATAGATTAGTTGTACATAGGTTGAATATAATAGAGCCAAGAAACTATATTTTAGGTTAATATGTTAAGACATCATGTAATACTGTTCTCTGTGTTAATCTTTTAATGTTTTCCTAAAGTACTTTGCAAACAATTAGAAGAAACTCTATTTAAAAAAACAAAACATATAGTTCTGTAAGGTTACATGCAGAGACTTTTTGCTAGAATAGGATTTTTGATAATTTGATTCAGACATCTTGTACAGATGAGGCTTTAGAAATCAAGTTACTTTATTGTTTGTAAAAGAAGTCTTTAATGTACAAGAAACCTTGCAGTGCACAAGGTATTATCTTGCTTTTAAATACGCCAACTTTGTTTAATTTTTAAATAATGTGTCTTGAAAATGCCAAAACCCTTTCTGGAATGTTGGTGAAATTCAGAGGTTTGCATCACACCCAAATGTGTGATTTTCTTGTGTTGCCAACACAAGAAACTTGTCTTTGTTGAAACCATCTATTATGCATGTTACCCGTGCCTCCGTTTAGAATTTTTTAGTACTTCCTCTCCTTGATAGTGTCTGACAATGTCAGAATTCTTTCCTGAATGGTTATAACATTCAGACTTACAGAAGAATGACTGTTTTCATCAGAGAAAGGGAGATTTGTGGACAGTAGTCTTTATATTGCATATCCAATGGCAAATGTTATTTGTATACGGGGTTGCATCAAAATTAAAGTTAGGACCTAGGTTAGCAAAGTATTGCTTTGGGGGGATGACCTTGACCCCAAATTTCTTATGCAACCCATATGGGGAGGTCTTCATTATTCCAAAGTGTCCTGTGAGAACTTGTCTGACTTACCAATCAGGGTCCAAGCTTGAGCTCAACAGCTACTCTAAGTGAAGCTGAGCGAATTACAGTTGATTAAAGAGGCAGTAGGAGAGCTGAGAAGCCAGAGGGGGTGGTGAGGTGGAGCTGTAAGTATTCACATGCAGTTTCTGCTCCCTATCCTTGCAACCTTGACTGCCTCTGGGTCTGAGGGCTTAATCCTCAAGGGAAGAAGTCTCCTATCAAGCGTTACAACAGTTCCTTGATGCTGTTTTGAGCATCTTGTGCCAGTGAAGCAACCATCAGAGAAGGAGGTTACTATTACTACTGGGGTTTTAAATCCACAGAACTAAGGAATTGCTGACACACATTTGGGGCCAGGTGGACTCTGTATGGAGCCTCTTAGTATTTCCATTATGATTGTGAGTTCGGGTAGGAGACTAAAGCACCCTAATAAGGATAGGACTACTAGAAATTCAGTCTTCAGTAATGAAGATTGGGTTTCCCCACAAGTAAAGAACCTTGACGCACCAATACCTTGCTAATGGCAGGCATAATACGAAACACGTGGCAGAAAAAAAGTTATTTAAAAAAATCAAAGTTTTGTGGTGAGTACAGAGGTGAATATGCCTGCCATGTATATTTTTGTTGTATTTCAACAAATTTTCCTTCCCTATTTTTTTTAAAGATTTTATTTATTTATTTATTTGACAGAGAGACAGTGAGAGAGGGAACACAAGCAGGGGGAGTGGGAGAGGGAGAAGCAGGCTTCCCCGCTGAGCAGGGAGCCCGATGTGGGGCTCGATCCCAGGACCCTGGGATCATGACCTGAGCCGAAGGCAGACGCCTAACGACTGAGCCACCCAGGCGCCCCTCCTTCCCTATTTTTTGTTTTGAATTGGAACATTGGTGAGGATTGGTTTTATAATTTAGTTCATAGATCATGAGATCAAGAAAAGTCACATTGGGGGTGCCTGGGTGGCTCAGTCAGTTAAGCGTCTCCCTTCGACTCAGGTCATGATATCAGGGTCCCGGGATGGAGTCCCGTGGCAGGCTCCCTGCTCAGCGGGGAGCCTGCTTCTGCCTCTCTCTCTCTCTCTCCCCCTTCCCGTTGCTTGAGGGCTCTCTCTCTTTCTCAAATAAATAAATAAATAAAAGTCCAGAAGGATATAAAGTTTTGGGGAAATCTTACAAACAAACCTGACCTAATGGACATTATAAGCCTCTACACATAAAATCTGCAGAATGCACTTTTTTTTTTCCAAGTGTCCATAAAACTTTCACAAATACAGACCATGTGTGATGCCATAAATCAGGTCTCCATAGGTGAAAATCCTAGGTATGTTCTCAATAATAATAGATATAAAAATAAGTCTGGAAAATGCTCAAATATTTGAAAATTAGGCTATATGCTTATAAATAACACAAAATGAATAAATCAAAGGGGAATAAGAAGGTAGTTTGGACTAAAGGTTAAGAAAAAAAACACAGTTCAAGAGAGGCAGCTGAAAGGGAAACATAGCTCTTCAATGCTTATATGAGGAAAGAAGGAAAGTCTGATATGAATGATTTAAGCCTCTACCTTACAGAAGTTCAGAAAGAGCAAATTAAATCCAAAGTAGAAGGTAGGAAATAATAAAGATAAAAGTGGAAATCAATAAAATAGGAAACAAAAATAGAGAAAATTAACAAAAATATAATCAGTTCTTTGAAATTATAAACTGGATAAAGTTAGAGCAATCAAGAAAACAAACTCAAATTACTCGTGGCAGGGATGATAGAGTTTTCCTTACAGATCTTGTAGATATTAAAAGGTAAATGAGGATGCCTGGGTGGCTCAGTTGGTTAAGCGTCTGCCTTCAGCTCAGGTCATGATCCCAGGGTCCTGGGATCGAGTCCTGCATCAGGCTCCCTGCTGGGTGGGGAATCTGCTTCTCCCTCTATCCCTCCCTGCACTCATGTCTCTCGCTCACTAACTCACTCAAAAATAAATAAGATAAAATCTTAAAAAAACAAAAAAAATAGTGTGAATTACTTAAAATTGGAAAACAAGGATTTAATATTGAAAAAATTCTTCGTAAATATGGGGTGTATAATACTTTTATTTTTGTGGAAATAAAAGGATATTAATATGTAACTTGAAAGCATCCATCCTTTTTCAAATGTTCACTAACTTATTTAATCAGAAAAAATTTAAATATTATAGACTAATATGGCCTATCATAACAGAATTTCCTGTAATTTCAAGATGTGCTCAGAGCATTCAACAAAGAATAATCTCATTCAGGATGGTTGATTTCAAGAGGCTGTGAATGTCTTGTACTCCACTTTTTTCTAAATCCTCTCTACTTCTATGTGATTTGAGTGTGAACCCTTATAGTTACTTTAGTTTCTATACATGTACATGCAGTCTAGTGATTATAAAATACGACGATCAAATTAAAATGTGAAATTCACTGAATAGCTCTGAAATATTTTCATGTGCTTATTTATAAACAGGACAACTGTCTAATTTCTGTTCCCAAAAGACACTGAGATTAAAACAATTACCAAACACGGTGAAGGATTTTACTCTATAAAATCTATAAATATGAGACTCTTTGCATCCTTATTGTGAGAACTGATTTCAAAAGCCTGAGATTATCTTCCTGATGGCTTTTAGGAGTCCGGGGCTACATTACAAGAACTAATTAATGCAAAAGTTTCATACTGACCAATCGTGTGGCTACACCCCAGCCGACTGTAAGCCAGTGGTGGGTGATGGTCCAGTGAGACCAAAATGACCTGGAGAGGGTGATCGAGACACAGGCTTCCCGGGAACCTGCACGCAGGGAGTCCAGGAGCGACCAACTGCTGCTAGGATCTACGTGCAGCAAGCTTTTATAGCAACTAACCTACAACTTTCTGGACCCTTCCCCTCCTCTTCCTTCCAAGGGAGATGCTCCAGAGCCCCTGATCTTGAACCCTGAACATCATGTTTTTCTACATATCCTGCCTGATGGAATTATAGAGGGAGGTTGGGATCTCTGCATTCTCAAGATAGTGACTAACGGGCATTCAGGGTATGCTCACACAAACAGCTATCCAGCACATACCATATACAAACTGCTTTGCATGTCCTTGCTGTGTACATGAGAATACAACTAATGTGGCTGTACACTACCGTGGAACAACCCACAAATCATCTTTTGTAACTTGTACATCCAACAAGTAATAAATGTATCATTCCCATATAATTTTAATTATTGGTAGTATTCATGATGAAATACTTCTTTACACATAATTATCTACTTATAATTATTTTCTTTATAAAATAGAACACTTATTTACATATGTGGGGTTTTTTTTAAGATGTTATTTATTTATTTGAGAGAGAGAGCATGAGGGGGGGAGAGTCAGAGGGAGAAGCAGACTCCCTGCTGAGCAGGGAGCCCGATGCAGGACTCGATCCCGGGACTCCAGGATCATGACCTGAGCTGAAGGCAGTCGCTTAACCAACTGAGCCACCCAGGCGCCCCACCTATGTGTTTTTTTTTAAAGATTTATTTAGATCTCACGACCCTGAGATCATGACCTGAACTGAAATCAAGAGTTGGAAGCTCGACAAACCGAGCCACCCAGGTGCCCCTGATTTTCAAGCTTTAAATGGTGTGTTACATTCCAATGTACACTTTTCCTTCACATAGTTGTGCAATGTTAAATGTTTGGGAAAACTTGCCCAAACTAAGTGTGCATGCACTTACCCAGTTAGAACATTTATGACTTTCCCCTTAATTCTTACCACAAAAATAGCGCAAAGAAATTCTACTATGCAGTTGATAAACTGGTGATCATATAATAGTTTTATAAAGTTGGTTAATGAATTGGTCAGGAGCAGTAAAATGCTGTAAAATGTGTCCAGGTCATTGAGTCAGCCGCATTCTTCCTTGTGGGGTCCACTCGGAAACAACGATGGAGGTGCAGTGACTCATCTAACTTGTATGGGCCACAGTTTGCGTACATGTGGGGGCTCTGGCAAAGAGGAGGTTTCATCTGTGTTGTGTGACTGAGCTCAGCATTAAGAGTTGTGGGAAGACAGGCCCTGAGTTAGAATTTAAAATATAAATGATTTTTTTTCTCTATGGGGCAGGGCATGAGAACACACACACATTTTCCCTTGAAACAGCAATGTAAGTCAACAGAAAGTAAGAAATACATTTATGTTTTTATTCCATTTGCCCAGTTCTACAATTTGAGTTGTAATAGGATTATTCTAAAATCGGCTTAGGATGTAATAATAATTTATATTAAAATCATCTTAAGATTTATATTTATAATAAATTTTATAGATTTTATGTATGATAAATTATATATTAAAATATACATTAAAATTTAACAATCATATTAATTAGTGCTATTAAATCTGCTTATTAAAATTTAAAACAATATTATTATATCCAAAGTTGATTTTACCAGTTTAGTGCCAGAGGGATTGTCCACGAGGATTTAGTAATCACTAGTGCCTTCTTCTTGTTCTTCATCTTCTGAGGTCAAGTTACAGAGGTAGACAGGGGAACACCTGGGAAGTAGAAGGCTATGACCTCCTGAGGGAGAAAAATGCCCTCAGTTCCAAACGTTCTGAAGAAGCGGAGTGGCTTTCTTAAGACACACCATAAGCCTGTGAGGGGAGCACCAGCCCAGGGTGCTCAGGTGAGCATGACTC